AAACCAAAGTTTTATCCTTGTAAATAAATATTGAAATTTTATTATTCAAAGAAATTTAAATTTAAATTATAAATATTTTTTCCAAAAAAAAGTATTTATTTTCTTGTTTCTTCAAAAAAAGACCTCTTAATATGTAGAATATATATTTGTAAATTTGGTTAGTCACTGTACTTATGGTATATACGTGCACTCTAACCCATAGTGTGGCAAATTGCACATACTTACACTGTGGAAGAAAATAATATACACTATGCAACAAAATGTTATTAAGGTCATTGATGTCAAGTAAAATAAAATTCAAAGGGGGTAAAACAATAATCATCAGAAAGATCATCAGTAAGAAATGCTATTTATCATTATAACATTTCATGGTTTTGGAATGACGCCCTTAATTTTAAGACCAAATATTTTTTGAAGTTCGAAAGTATATTTTAGTGCTATAAAGGTCAGAAATTGCCTCTTTTTTTTACTTTTCAAATTCTGAACGTGCTTGCGTAAGTTTGTATGGTTTCCGACTTGCGTTTCAATAATGAAAACTATTAAATAACCCAAATCGTATAAGGTTTTTATCCATTTCAACGATATATTACGAAGACATTTTATACATTTTTTTTTTAAATAATTTGCTTTTTGAGGAAACATTTTGGCGTTCAGGCTTTTTTTTGAAACTATGTAACTTTTATTGAAAGCTTCATTAAAAAAATTTACAAAATTTTCATCATTAAAGTCAGTGTATACGATCGGTACAGATGTCGATAAAGACGATCATTTGCTTTTGGGTTAATGGATGGTTCAGTACTTGTAATATAGATGCCTGTTTTTAGGACCACTAATGTGTTGGTACACGTCAGAGTTTCGATAAATTACTAGGCCTTTACTGGTCTGGCACTAGGCGCGAATGAACTCTGAACTAGTATTTTTTTTTAAAATAGTTTCACACTTTTTTTTTATTATCAATATGCTTCTAAAACAAGAACCTTAAGAAGATATCTCGTCAAATGATAAAATTTCCATGCAAGCGCTTAATTCCGATCGTCCAGTTTGTATGTCAGCTATACGCTATAGTGGTCTGATATTTACGGACATGTGAATAATTTCAGATCAGATATACAGACAGAGAGACATGGCTAAATCGATTCAACTCGTCGTGCTGATCATTTATATATGCATGTCTTTTATAAGGTATCCGAAGTATCCATATGGGGTTATAAATTTCGGGACAAACTAATAAAAGAGAATTTCTGCCTCCCTGCTTATGTTATATAAAACAGAGATAACGTTGACATATGCATAGTTTGTGGCACAGTGTAAATGTATACCAGCACACGATCGACTGAATTTCTGTTCGTCATATGACGCTTATTTACAGTGTATGTAAACAACTCTGCATTTATGTACGTGCGCTCAGTGCTGTTATATACACATAACCTACAAAAATGTTTATATACATTGGTGAACATAACAGCAACAGCAGCACCAACGGCAACGGTGGAAATAATTTCGTACCAGAGTACTACATACATATAAAATACATGCTCATAAAAGCAGCAACGCTGGCAACAAATCGTATAAAAAGCATTTCATACAAAAACGACAAAACGAAAGAGGGAACGCAAAGCTGTTGAGAGTTTTTGTGCAGCACGAATGCTTGGCGGCTGATGGTGGTAAGGCCGGGCCGGTTCGTTGGTTGTATGTCGAGTTCGCTGGGTTGTTTTGTGGACTCTGACTGATACGTTCGACCATTCGTTCGGTAGTTCGACAGTTCGGCGAGTGTACCACTAGCTAGCTGGCTGACTGACTAAATGACTGTCATGCTCATTCAGTTTATAAGACACACACACACACACACACACAAACAAATATGTGTGTTTTCAACATTTCTGGGGTTGCTGATGGAACTCCGAAACATCAGGAGCTGCGACGGGGAGCTGCGGTGGTGCGGTCGGCAAACTTTTGTGTGTACGTAAATTTATTTCAATGTGGGAATGGAACTCGGCAACACTACGCGAGCAAGTACTTTGCTTCGTAAATCGACTAGGGGAAAGGCGACGGCAAATTGACAAGGGCGGGTAGCAGTGCCGGCAGCATAGCATTTGAAACCAAGGCGAAACCCACGGCAGTGGCGGCAACAAATAGAGAAGATGAAAACGAAAAAATCAAGCAAGAAACTTTTATTGTTGTTGGGTCTTGAATTTTTCCTTCTTTCTGGTTGGAATATAAAATTATTTTTATTTTGTTCATGCTGTTGGGATTTTATATTTTGTTCAATTACGAAATAAAGCGAACGAAACGAGTGCGAGTCTTACAGCTGCGAAATGTGAATTGTGTGCGTCTTGCTCGTAACGAGGGTTAATAGCGACAAGCGCCGAGCACCTTAGCACAGTGGTGAAAATGGATGCATATGTTGCTTGTCGGCTGCAACTAAATTTAAGATTAGCCGGAGTACGAGAATCTCTCTAAATGATGATTCTTTAAAGTAACGGTGTCTGTTGATCTGCGAGCTTCTCTATTGACAGTTGTTTCGTATGATCTGATAAGCCAACAGTTGTTGTCGCAGCAAGGCTAGTCACTCATGAGCGGAATCAAACCAAGCTTAGTGGTCTTCGAATACAGATTGTTTCATAAATACACCTATATGACATATGATATGTCAATAAAAATAAAAGATTAGGAAATCATCATAGAACAACTCTCAAGACTATTTTGTATAGACCGTACCACAGTCCAGACGAAGAAAGGCGAAAGGGTTCCCACAGTCGAATTTATGCAAACAGACCCCGCTCGGTTGGTATGCGTCTGAGTTCCTTCAACGTAGCTACTGCTACAATATCAATTAAAAGCCCCTAGTATTACCAGTTAGAAAACTAGCACTATTTTAAATAGAATGTAAAGCTATCGAGGATTAGTAGGGCCAAATTATATACATACATAGGTATTCTTTTTAAAGTGATCGCTGTTATCTTTGTAATATTAGCGGATTTAAAATTAGGAACCAACCACCTTGACTTCAGATTGGAAGTTTATTTTTTAAGTTATAAGTATGCCTGTATATGTATGTATTACGGTGGGAACCTAAACTGTTTTGAAGGTTTTTTCTACATAGAGCTGAAAATGATAGGTTTTTAAGCTTTACGTTTGCGATCAAAATCTGTGGGTCCTCAATATAAAATAATAATTTCTATTAGATTCATTTTCTTAGTACCTTTCTACATAGTGGTCCATGTCCAAATCTTTCTAACATCTAAGGTGACAATTCAGAAGTAGCAAACTCTCTTGTACCTTATCATCCGAACGCTTTAACCTAAAATTAGTTCTATGTTATACCTGATGTTGCTGGCAGAGTAAAGAAACGTCTCAATTGTGCCGAAGGGTGAAGCGTTTCTCTCTTATTATATATGAAGTAAATGCGATCTATTGACCACAGTGCGGCCCACTGACGAAAGTCTGATGTTCTATATAGACACATAGTACATACGTACAGATGTTGAACGTTGAATATTATTTGTTGCAACGTAGAAAGTAAACGAGTGCGCACACAATACCCAACCAATCTCACACATTCAACATACATTCATAAAAATATAGAAGAATGGTGGTGGAAAGATTTTAAAGCAAGAAAGCCATGCGAAAAGTAGAACCCAAGAAAATAATAACAAAATTATAAATGAGCGCATAAATTGAAAAGCGAAAAAGAAAGAAATACGAAAGATCACTCCAAAGAAAAGCAAAATTGCCAGAGAACGAATGGAGAATGGGAGAAGAAAAAAAGTGTACAAGAAATGTCAAATACTTAGCATACTTTGCACCATTTGCCGGCATAAATATATGCTAGGGTGCAAGAGCGTTCTTATGGTAGATAGGCAAGCGATGAGGGCAACTGCAGCTGGCGGAGGCTTGTGGCTGTTGATTGCAGCTGTAGACTGCAATCAGGGTTGCACTCGGTTGCGAACTGGCATGTTGTGCCTTAAAACTTTGGAAATTTTTTCTTCGTTCACACAATGTGAGAGCGTTCGCTGTGCCGATGATTCTACCGGCCGCTACTCAGTTGATGAAATAGAATCTCTAAGTGAAAATCATAGATATACATGCACATATATAGTTGCGTTATAAGGCATGGAACATTAACAAGTAATGGAAGAATTTACAGCAGCGATACTGTGTAATGTAGTGCAGCAGATATTTAAATGCAACAACACAAGGAGACAATTTTGACTTCGATGTTGCGCTAATTTGGTCAGGTGTATATTAATCATTTTAAAAGAGCGATAGGTGTTGTGAAAGTTTTGGAGACCGGCTACCGATCTCATTTAGGGTAGCGAAGAATATTGACTTGGCTGAGGAGAGAAAATTGCCAATAGGAAAGGAAAAAGAATATACAAAACTTGAATTTGAGCCCAGAGACGTCAATCTTTTTACAATCATTGTATATTAGGTTTGGATAGGTTAGGTTCGCTCTAACAGCGAATTCACTTGGACAGCTGAGAATTGCCGGTCTGTTTTTTTTTACCGAAAACTCCTATGTAATAGATCATAAGAAGATTACAAATAGACAAAGCGCTTTGAGTCTATCACAAATTTGTTGAGATGGGTAATGTCAGTTTCTGCTATGTCTCCTGGTATGCCGAAGGTAAGACTGACGAGAGGTTTCAATTTCTTGCAAAGGCTAGACAATAGAGGAGAAAGTGCCGGGATGTTTCCACCTCACCCTCCTCCATATAACTTTGACAACTTCAAGATTTTCTACTTGTCGCATGAATGTCTATTGGACAATGTCTAGTAAGGACTCAAGATACACTTTAATATCTACAGTTAGTTCAGAAGAATTCCATTTGATATTTTACGAGGTTATAATTTTTTCGATTCAGTAAATTTTCGAGGAGGCTATATACAGGTAAGATTTTGTAAGCCGTGGTTTGTTGGACCCTCTAATATTTATACAGTTATATCCAAACTCTGAACAATAAGGAATACTAGTAGATATACATATGCAATATTCACACCTTTTCTGGGGCAGTCCTTTAGCCTCTTCTCATTGAACGTAACTTCGTTGATGCTAGATCTGACGTTTAAAAGTGAAACGACAAAATTCGGGGAAACTATTTGTCCCCGACCATACGATGTACTTGTTTTTTTCATCTGACCTGGGGAAAACAACTAACGTCGCTGATGTTTAAACCAATCCATCATTATAACTATTTGTATATCAACTGTTATAGAAGATGCTGCATGCACCGCTTAGAAGACTTCGTTTTGTATCATGTGGAATGGATGTTCGAAATTTTAAGACCTCTCAAGATTTGCCATCGCCGCAATTAATGAATTGCTATTTTTTAAAAATTTTTTTTTTTTTAAATTCATTCTTATTTTACTCATCCTCATATCTACCGTAAAAATGCCGATCGTAGCTCTGGCAGAAATTCTTCAACACATGTACCTCGTGGCCCGCACGCCAGTACCTCTTTCCTAGGTGTATTATCTACTGCTCTTAGATAGGTACTACACTTGAAATGTGTATTTTTAGCAGCAAACGAGAAAACGACGCACGCTCACAGTTGTCGTCGTCCACAGCCTTTGCCTAGTCTCTGCTAACTAGTAGAGTAGTAGTGTTGTGCACACGAAACGTTTTGGTAGCGACACGAACACCAACCAGTCGCTACAGTAACAGTGACTAAAGCATTGGCGACGCCAACAATTGTTGTTACCGCGTTTGTATCTATTTCCACACATATGTATATATCTATAAGTATTTTACTATTTAGTTGCTGCTGTTGGTGGCGCTGGTGCGCTCGGGCTGCAATTATTTTCATTCTTGCTTCATTTCTTGTTTCCATTTTTTGCTGTCAGAATATTTGCTTGGCGCGCACAAATAACGGCGCAGCACAGGTGAAGGCGATTCAGACAATGCTGATACGAGTACACTGTAGCTGACACCGCCGCGAGCAGGTTGGCCTTGGTTGGCGGTGGGCTAAAGTTTATTCAATTCTGTTTTCATTACGTTTTGATTTTCCGTAGCGTTAGTTTTAATACACTTCCCTTAGATTGCGAGAAAAATTAGTAAATAAATTTTATATGAAAAATTCCTGAAATCATTTGAAATGCAGAGTAATTTTTTTTATGAAGTTTTTTGCTTTTATATAGTTGCGCACATATATGTACATATACATTAAAGGTACATATATTAGGGATTTAAAAAGTTCTATTAAAATCTTGTTTTATTTCAAATCTTTGCGGAAGTAATATATGGTAAATTTATAGAGTTAGAACTTATGAATATCCGATGGTACTTAGCTACATATATACATACACATAAGCATGTATTCTGAAATTAAATTTTCAAAAAAGAAAAATAATATTTTTAAATTCAAAAATTATTATAAATATTTTTTAAAAATAAAAAAAAATGTTTTTAATATTTAATTTTTTTTGCATTCTACTATAAATAATTAAAATAATAAACACAATGTTCTCTGCAATCAATATTTTATCGATTACAAAGTTAATTTGCTCTCAATTGCCCTTTTAAAAGACCCTGTTGTTACCGAAGTATAAATTTGCGGGTATACTTGAATTTAACTTCTAAAATGTAAAGAAAACACTCAATAATCGATAATTTTGAAGGCGGATGAGTCTGTAAGTATTGGTTTGAAATAAGCGATAATTTTCAATATGAATCAGTTATCGAATAAAAAAATCGATTAAGTATATAATACGTTCATTAATCGATAATTTTAAATTGGGAATAATTATCGAATGAAAATAATCGATAAATATTTATCATACCGAATTCATTACACACTTACATATTGGCGCATTAATTTCCGATTTGTTTAATCTAACGCAACGATATTTTAATGATATAAATTTGTAGCTAACCTAACTGGTTTAGTCTTAAGTACGAGTACAACTCGAAAACAGGCTTTTAAAGATTTTTGGCTTTCAACGGTAATTGCCCTTATGGAAAACAATTCCTCTATTAACGGCCAAAGCTTACCGCTTCTTGACGATCGCTTTCTTCAGACGGTCCAATTGCTCATAGTATAGGTCCAAATTAAAAGCTTGACCATAGGATACAAGTTCATATAAGATGATTCCTTTCCAATCCCACCAAACACATAACAAAATCTTCTTGACCGTCATTCGTAGCTGCGCCATTGCGTACGATCGGTTTTTTCAGGTTTCGCTAGACGTTGTCGTAGGTGCCACTTTTTATCACCAATTGGTTATGCTTAAGAATGGATCGATTCACAAATGAAAATTCGATCCATGAGTCTTCGTTGCATTAACTCGTGTAGCACCCTTTATCAAGCTTCTTTTTATGTGGTTTAAATGGTTCCAAACAGTTTTTTGTGCAATTAAAATCATGTTCTTCTATGGAAAACTTTTTTATTTGACGAGATGTCTTCATAAAACTTGGCACGAATTATTTCCCACGGCAAGGGTACAATCTTCGATTCTAAATTGCTCAGATCGGACCTATATGGCATATATGTATGTATGTAGATGCCATACAATTTTAGCGATCAAAATCAAGTCTTTGTATGGAAAACTTTTTTATTTGACCTGCGTAACGCACTTCAATCTCCGAACATATTGTTCAGATCGCACCGCTATTGGTGTAGCCGAAGTTAGCGTTTTTGCTTATTTTTGTTTTTGTTTTATAAATACAACTATTTCCCTCGTACAAACACTTCCTTATGTTACTTGCTTGTTGATGAGGAATCATTATTTCGTCTACAACGAATTCTTTCAAATTACTGTTATCACAAGTACGACACATTAAAACTACTTACCCATAGTTTCTGTTCACATAACGCCAGCTGCAACAACTGAAGCGCCGTCATCATCTTGGCATTTGCCGGCAATTGTCGCCAACCAAACGACTGCGACTCGATAGAGAGCACTGAGCGTCACAACATTCAATTACTATCGATGCACTCGTCGAAGCAATGGGCTGTACAAATAACAAGTTGCCGCCATTGGACGTCAGCCATCAGCAACAGCAGCAGCCGCCAGTAAAGCCAGTGCCGTCAGTGGCGAGAGCTCGAAATGCTGTTAAGTAGTTGCCACCAATGCGTGTAAGTGCAACACAAAACTGTTCTTGTTGTTGTCGTGAATATTGTCTTTGGTTGTTAGTTGGTTGTTATTGTTTTTGTTGTTTTTATTATTTCTGTTATTATTACTATTATTGTTCCTTTTATTATTGCTTGTTATTATTATTTCTGCTGTGCTGTTGTTGTTATTATTAATGTTATTATTATTATTGTTGTTGTTATTATTAATGTTATTATTATTACTGTTGTTGTTATTATAATAATTATTATTATTATTGTTGTTGTTATTATAATTATTATTGCTATTGCTCTTAACACAAACATACAACACAAACCAACTGACAGTATGTGGTTGTTGCAACAGCAAATTTTTATTTATACACGTTCATATGTATGTATGTATGTGTGTCCCTACAACGCACTGACCATTTAACCGTTGCACTGTCTGTTCGTTGTTGCCATCGTCCACGTTTCGTCGTCCAGTTATTTTACTTCACGTGCGATTTTCTGACTTTCCTTCCCTTGACGCTGCAACGCTGCCACCTACATGCATACATACGACTATTTGTATGTGTTTTTTTGTTTTTTCTTCGTGTGTATGTATGTATGTGTGCACAATACACCAGAGACATTTACGAGCACACAACAATAAAGACAAAATACAACAACAACAAACATATAATGTAATGAAAAAAGACCAAATAAATAACGAAAAAGGCCAAAATAAAATGGAAAATGCCAAGCAAAAAAGATAAAGCTAACAACGAATGTCACCAACAACAACGTGGAGCGCAACAACGAAAACATAATGAAATGAAATGAGTTCGTACGCCGGACAGGCGACGTCAGTGCGAGTCGGGCGTTCAACGCCAACAAAGGCAAAGCAAAGCAAAGCAAAAGCGTTAAGCAACGACAACGAGCAGATACCAACAACATACATACATACATATGTATGTAGATTTATACACACCAAGTTTCATACACATACATATAAATATGGTACATTTAAACGCACTACAAGTATATGTTATATGGTTGTTGGCGTTTGAGGTCGGCGGTGGCGTTGGCGGCGCTTTAGCGAAAATGAAGTAAATACGAAAAAATGTTAAAAATTCCCCACAGCAACCCGCTAGCCACGCGCTGCTGTTCGTTAGCGCACACTTAAAACATATAATACTGTATGCATGTCGGTGTTAGCGCACATGTATATACATATATATGTTTGTGTGCGCTTAACAGATACGACTTTGGCAGGAAACGGTGTCGGCAATAACATGACAAAAACGACTCTAACGACAACGCAATGGCGACGAATAAACGACAGCGATGGCGGCGACGACGGCGCTGATGGCAGTGACTGCCAAAGCCGCAACCCAGCGGCAGCACAACTGAAGGCTACACGCGCACAAACACATATATATATATTTCTACACACAATCATACATAAATATGTACATATATATTGTATATGTGTTTCCCTGACTCGACTCGTCGCCGCGCTGTCAGCGGCGAGGTGGCGCGTTGAGGTACGCTGTGTGTGTGTCTATACGTTCAAGCGAAAAGCGCTATTATCGCTGCTGTGTGTAGGTTGTTTGGCTTTTTGTCTGTGCCACTATGCGCACGTATGCCTGTATATTAATGTGTGTTAGTGTGTGCTGTTAGTCTGTGCCGCTTGGCTGGCTTTGTAAAGTAGGTTCGTGTGCATCGATTCGTTTGTGATTTTCGTGGCAGGGCTTTGTGGAAAAATTTTGTTGAAATGATATATAGTATTCAACTTCGGTTTATCAATCGGTTGTGTAATTGTAGAATGATAGCGTTGTTTCGAAACATAACTGTCATGTAAGACTTAGATAATAATAGATAATTAATTTATGTAGATATCATCTGAAGCGTAGCAATTTAGTTTTAGTGGTTTTTTAACGCCATTTTATATAATTTAACTTTCTTTCTACTTTAAAAGTGCTTTTGCGGTTTTATAAGTTTTTTGTAACTTCGAAATAATAATACAGGATTATGGTACAAATGATGTTCTCAAAAACCAGTTTAACATATTAGCACTTAAAACTGATAGCTTAGCTGAAAATTTCAAAATCAATAATCGAAAAATTTATTGGAAAATAATCGAAGAATCGTTTAAAATTGATTATATGAAATTAGTGATAATGATCGTAGATATAACGGTTTTTGTAATTTATTTTAGGATAACAATTTTTTGAATTTCGCATATATGTTTAACAATTTTGTTTTTCCGAAAACATGAAATATGAAATTTGTAATTTATAATAAAATATATAGTAAAATGAAGTATTTATGGAAAAAAATTTCTAATAATTTTGAAAATAAATACAAATTTGAAAAAGTTCAAAAATTAATATTATATTATATTCAAAATTTTTTGTATATTTTTCCATATTTGACTAGAAATATTTCAAAGTTTGTATTTTTTCGCCAAAAAAATATTTTTTGTTTTCTAAAATAACAAATTTTTATACAAAATCATAAAAAAGGAAATTTCAAAATTATAATTCTCTGCTTTATAATTTTTCTAGTCTCAATAAGTGCTTGCTTAAGACAATCGGTTGCTTTCTAAATAGCTTCCAAACTCTTATCATAGGGTAATATTTTAACATTTGAAGGTGAGTGACTCAGCAATACTCAACCAAAACTCAATTTATCGTTTTGAACTAATGCGACGGGCTCTTAACCTCTTAAGGGATGATCACGAAATTCGATTATTTCGATACTTTATGTAAAAACTATCGATATTATTGTCTAGAGGTAAAGGCTATGCAGCAACACGAAATTTCAGATTTTTCTTATTCAAATGTTGAATTATATTTTAACCAGAGAATGAAGCAATCTTTGAACATAACCTAAAAATATTCAGTATTTAGTAAAAAATAATCGACCTACACACTACTTTGAAAAATAGTTTCATGTAAAAATTTCGTAGAATCAATATCAATAATAGCTCAACTAGGTAGCTTTTAATATTTACAAGGTACAATTCAAAAGTTCCAGAACTTTTTAAGCAACGCGGCTTCTAGTGGCGCCATCTGTCTGAAATTGTTATCCCTCAATTGTGTATTCTTCAGTGTTGTCGTATAAAATTTACAATTGCACCTTGTATCGTAATATCTTCGGAAGAAAAATTGTAGATTATTTGTAATTTTTGAAGATTCGACTATAAATTCAAAAGATGTGAGGAAAATCCCGAAAGGCGTTAGCAAATTTTTCTAATTCCTTACCTGAGGTAGTTTTTTGAATTATGTTATTTTCTCCTGCTTTTGATAAATGATTATATAGTAGTCTGTATCACAGCCTGAAAATACTCAAATCAGATCCCAAACACGACTGTTTTCCTTGCAATGGGTAACAAAGAGAGCTGAGCGAGATCTTCATACCAAAAACAAACGGAATCGGTCCAAACTCACAAGGATACCTCATACGAGCCTTTAGTGTAAATTTCTCACTGGGTAAGAGAATCGCTAAGTGAGCTTGAATGTGTGTGGCGCTGACATATTTCGCTGCTTAAAGCAAAAACAACAAATTAGTAAATGTTAAAATAAATAATAAAAAAATAAAAAGCAGTACGAAAGCGTGAAAGAGTAAAAGCAAAGATAAACGAAAATGTGCTTAAAGTAAAATGTTAGTAGGGGCTGAAGAGAAATTCATAGCAATGGTAAGCAGCGAAAGCAGCTGACGAGACAGGTCGGTGAGAAGAGACCGAAAAAGTCACACGCAAAAACTGTAAACTGAATTAAGCACAAAATAGAAAATAAAAACTAGCAATATTATTGTTTTATTTAAGTAGGAAAAATAAAAAATCAAACACTCAAAACAGCCGCCCACAAGCAGCAAGTGGGTTGTCTGCAACACCGCAAAACCGACACCGCCAACATTTCCACACGCAGACCAACGGTGTCAGTTTTCGTCGGTGACGCGCTGTCAGTTTTGCTCTTAATTTTTCGGAATCATTCATTTGTTGTTATTATTGTTGCAGCTTTTATTGCGAACTAACGAAAATGCAGTGCGGTTTGTGCTGCAACGTCAGGTTGCAACATGCAGCCAGACAGTTAGACCGGTAAGTACAACATGCTTTCAAGTTTGGCGCACTCACAACAGCAAGCCAGGCAGCTGAGTTGCATTTGAATGGCGACAGCCATGAAATTTGCACATCTACTCGTGCGACATTGCAGCAAGTTTCGTTCACGGACTCTTTGAGAAATAGGCTCTCACACAATTCTATGTACGAAGAAAGATACTTTTGCGCAGATTGTGTTCGGAAGGTGATACGCTGGACTTTTAGGCAAACGGCACTACAACAACAGCAAGTAGAATATGCAATTTGTTGTGCGCGTCGCACTTTGGCCAAACAACTTCCGCTGCTCTGTTCTGTTGCAACTAGTTATTTCACAACTTACTGCATAGCTGTGACGGTCAGAAGAATTCATCAGCAGTCATCATTGCAGCCGGGCGAAGATACCTTCACATGCAGCTGCTTTGAAGTCAACATTTCATTGACTACAACAACATTTCGTTGACTGCTTCTTGTTGCTTTATTGCAACATCGGGCAATTTGTTGCACAGCCGCATCATGTTGAATACGGTGACTCGCGACAAGAACCTGTAGCGCTCAGCGGCGTCCAAAACAACCGGCCTGACCAGATCGGCCTTTGCTGTTCCACAAACTGCGCCGGCAATAACAGGAGCATCTGCAATTAGCAGTGGCAACAAACCTCGTTAAGAATGTCATTAAGTGACTGTAGTAGAATCGTGTATAAAAATCGGTAGTCAGCTTAAGTGCGAGTTGTTTCTAATTAAAAGTGGTGCTCTTTTCATTTATGCTATTCCACTTTGTTCTGGACAAGAGACAAGTTAATCGGTCTGAAGAAACGTTTGGTGTTACATAGGATTGTTCTCCGTTGGTCAATCATTATGTCCAAATAAAATTCTTATACTTCTTCCCAATAACTTCATACCTGAGCTCTTCGAGCGCGTTTTGCCGGTAAAAGCCGGCAAAATGTTACAGAGACTCCCATATTACAATTGAAGACTAGATAGTATAGAAAGGTTATATGTATAAGAAAACGTTTCTTCGATATGTCGACCGATAGTTCCTTCCACTTCGCAAAACAAGTACTAAATATGGAAATATTTGGCCGAGCGTCTTTCTAAGCCCCGAAGGACCCGTTTTTGTTGATGGTGATTCTACCTTAATTTCTCCCAAACTACTTATATAGCTAACATACGGTTCGATAGTTAGAGAACTAGGGAATGGGGAACATTGCCGAGAGCGAAGAGTTCGCTAAAACTTTTATGTCATGTATACGAAGTTCTGCGAT